CCACTATAGTGGTGGAGTAGGAGAACCCATACTACCCCTGCCATCCCGCAGATGTCGTAAAAAGGGGCAGAGGGAAACTGAAACAGGAGATCGGGGGGCAGCATCTTCCTGACAACAACTTCAAATAATAATAAACACCGGACAAAAGTGAGGGTTCAGCGTAAACTTAAATAAGAATGTACATAGTTTATCTATCCCGAGAATCGAGTCTCAACAACTTTTGGATTCAGATTCACGAAAGCTGTAAATTGACAAAGATTTATCTTTGTTTATTGAGATTTGTTTATATACAATAGGGTAATATATAACAGTATAAACAGTTTGATAATTGTTTTTGTAAAAATAAGTACTATTGCTCTAACTAAAGTAAGTTGGATTGAAGGACAAACTTAACTGTACACTAGAAACATTCTCCCATATAGCAATGGGAAGCAGCATAGAAAAGTGGATTGTGCAGTGACGGTGTAAGAATATCCACTATCACAGGGTCGGCAACGATTTATTGATATATATATATATATATGGTATTATTAGATTCACTTATTATTTAAGTAAATAATTAAAACAAACATTTATTTACATTGTAAGTCTTACAACACTAACTTATACTTCAAGTACAAACAATTGAGCAAACAAATTCAATGGGAGTTTTGGCTTTGCATGGTTTTAGAAAGTTTGGATAAATTTGGCTCATAACTTGTTGTTTTAAGTTTCAAGCACGAATCTGAATTTTCATTTGTTAGTTGGCTTCTTACTTTACTTTTAATTATATTCATGCAAGAGAACGCTTGCTCGCACGAATAGAATAGAATAGAATATTTTTTATTCAATATACATTACATGTGTAATTCTTATTGAAAGTCATTTTTTACTTTACCACTGGTTCGAAAAAAAACCCTCTGTCCTGGGAAGAACCAGCAAGAAACCCAGCGAAACTATTTTTTTTAAATAAATTTTACAATATTAATTATTACGAACTATTTACAAAATTTATTTTAGAAACTGCTTGGAAGCGACCACCTCATTCCCAGGGGTTATTATCAACCATGTATTCATTTATACTATAATAACCCTTTTTATACAGTTTCAGCTTAATAAAACATTTAAACTTGGTAATAGAGAGAACCTGTACACTTTCCGGGACCTTGTTGTAATAGCGTATACATTGCCCCAAGAATGAATTACTGACTCTGTGGAGTCGAGAAACTGGCATCACTAGCTTGTGTTTGTTCCTAGTGTTTACAGAATGTATATCACTTTTTTTACTAAAACTATCTTTGTTTTTGTGAACATACATTAAATTTTCGTAAATATACTGAGAGGCCAAAGTTAATATATTAATTTCCTTAAATTTATCTCTAAGAGACTCTCTCGGTTTTAGATTGTAAATAGCTCTAATGACCCTCTTCTGTAAAACAAAAATAGTTTCTGAATCAGCCGCATTTCCCCATAGCAAAATCCCATAAGACATTATGCTATGGAAATAACTAAAATAAACTAATCTAGCTGTCTCGACACTAGTGAGATCTCTAATCTTTTTTACAGCATAGGCTGCAGAACTTAGTCTGCTTGCTAATTTGGTTATATGGTGGCCCCACTGGAGCTTTGCGTCAAGAGTGATGACAAGAAAAACAGTGGATACAACAGGGCTCAATTCCTCCCCATTTAAAAACACATTGGTATTCAGATTTTTAACATTCGTTGTTTTAAATTTAACACAATTCGTTTTATTTCCATTCAAATGCAGATTATTAACGTTAAACCAATGCACTAATTTTGATATAGCATTATTCACTTCGTCACATTTAAATGATTGACGTTTAAGTTTAAAAATCAAGGAAGTATCATCAGCAAATAATACTATATCATTACTATCCCCTACAAGGTGAGGTAAGTCATTAATATACACCAGAAACAGGAATGGGCCGAGAATCGAGCCCTGAGGAACACCCATTAGTACAGGTGACCCGGAAGAACTTTTACCATTGATAATAACCTTCTGTTTTCTATTACTTAAATATGAAATAATAAGTTTAAGCGCTGTGTTCTTGACACCATAGTACTGTAGCTTCCTGATTAATGTCTCATGGTGAACACAGTCGAAGGCCTTGGAAAGGTCACAAAATATACCCAAACCATCCTCTGATTTCTCCCATGCACAAAAAATATGTTTAATAAGCTCAACTCCAGCGTCAGTTGTCGAGCGACTCCTTGTAAAACCGAATTGATTTTTATGTAGCAATTTATTAATATTAAAGAAACTTAACATCTGATCTAAAATAATTTATTCAAAAATTTTACTTAATGTTGGTAGTACAGAAATTGGTCTAAAATTGGCGGGGTCTAATGTACTACCAGATTTAAATATAGGTATGACTTTACTATGTTTCATTAAATCAGGAAACACACCAGATTCGACGCTTATATTAAATATAGTGGCTAGATAAGGTGCTAATATATCTATTATAGATAAAATAACTTTAACGGAAATCCCCCATAAGTCTGCAGTTTTCTTAACATCAATAGTTTTAAAATATTTAACGATATCTTTTGGCAGTACTCTATGGAATTTAAATGTATTTGAACAAGCCTTTACATTTTGTTTGAGCAATGATTCGGCGACAGTAGGAGAAGAATTTAATGATTTTGTTGTCAAAAAAGGAACATCAGTAAAATGTTTCTCAAAAGCCATAGCAACTTCTTGATCAGATCGCGTTAAATTATTTTTAATATTCAATTGAAAATCCGAGTTGCGCGGTTTGACCTTGCCCGTTTCACTATTTATTATTCTCCAGGTCATTTTAATTTTGTCGGATGCAGTTTTAATTTTGTTGCTTAAATGTAAAGCCCTAGCAGTGGAGCACACTTTTTTAAATATTTTAGAATATGTTTTTACATAATCTCTAAATATAACACTACTATTATATGATCTTTCATCATAAAGCTCGTATAACCTTTGCCTACTCTTATAAATTCCTACTGTCGCCCATTCATTAAATGATTTGCGACTGTTAAAAGAGAAAGTTTTAGAAGTAAATATTCTACTAAATTCACAACTTATAATTTCAAATAATGTAGTATACAAATAATTAGCACTATTTTTAAACGAAAGTGATGGAATTCTTTTTATTATATTACTTCTAAACCTCTCCAAGCGATGTTCATTTATTGGAACAAACACAACTTTCTTATTTTTCTGTTTTTTTGTGTATGTAAGGTAGTGATACTAACTGTCCACAGTGATCTGAACTTAAATTTTGAATAATTGATTTATGCAAGGGCTTAACATCTGTAAAAATGTTATCTATACAGGTCGCACTAGGCCCAGCAATACGCGTTGGTTCTAAGAATAAATTAACAAGATTATACGATTTAAACAATGAGCGAAACTTAATACTAATGGAAGAAGTTTCAAGGAGATTGATATTAAAGTCTCCACACATTACAACAGACTTGTTCTGTTTACTAAGCTTGAGTAAAACTTCTTCCACAATCCTTTCAAAATGGTCATAAGTAGCACATGGGGGTCTGTAAACACTTACAACAATGAGGTGCTCGAGCTCGACACAAGCCATTTCTACAGTTCGTTCAACAGAGAGGCTCACAATATCCTTACGTTCTTTATATAATAATGAGTTATCTGCTAATATTAAGGAGCCACCACGTAAACTTTTTTCTCTATTGAAGGAACTGACCAACTGGTGATTTCTGAAATTAAACATAAAATTATAATCTTTTAGCCAATGTTCAGTAATACAAAGGATGTGTATATTGTTACTATTTAAAAACAATTCAACTTCCAATTCTTTGCCCAACATGCCTTGTATATTTTGATGCACCAGGTGTAAACAATTTTTATTACTTATTTGTGGGCTGTATTCAAAATTAATTAAACTCTTATTATTGCTAGAGATTTCCTCTATTGTCACATTCACTAATTTAAATTAGTTGGAACTGATTCGAAATTAAATGTCAAATGATTATGCTCAATAAAAGCAGTCTTGGTAGGCAAAAACTTGGCTGAGTTAAAAAGTAAATAATAAGATAGCACATTTGCTATCAGTCTTAAATTATATTTGGATAGGTAATACCTATCTTTTGTCCAAAACTTTTTTATTAAATTATTTATGTCAATTACATGAAATTTATGATTATTATCATTACAATTATATGTCAAATTTAAATTATTATTACATATTAAATTATGCATTTGTATATTTAAATTATGTCTTAAATTATTTTCTTGTGGCAATCCCTGTATATAAGGCAGTGTGAACAAGACAATTTTGTGTACATTTAAGTTATTAAGTTGTTCAATATATCTTAATAACTGTTTGTTGTTGACACTGCCTCTTCTACCAACAAAAATTATTATTGTACTATTTGGGCAAAATTTAGTAACAATAATTTTATTTAGGATGTCACTAAAAGACGCTCCAGGCATGCAGCAATTTGTAACTTTTTGTCCCTTTAAAGAGTTATTTAAAGTTATGCCTAGATTTTTTCCCATGTCATCGCTATAAACAATTATATTATTTTTAGTAATATTTGAGTTATTTATTATTTTAATATCCTCTGCTATGGCACTGTCATAGAGTTTTGGTGATGGTATAATATTATCAGCACACACTGACTTTGAAGAATCTGGCATTGAGCGCTGACACTCACATTGATATTTAACTAAGGAGTCAAACCGCTCCTCATTATATTTACAAGTCTTTACCAGATTATCCATAGCCAATATGTGTTCTTTTATTTCATTTTGGGCTGATTTATATTTATTGGACACAGTTTGAAGGGAGTTCATAAGTGATAATATTTCTGATTTAAGGCACTCTACTTCAGTCTCATAACATTTTTTTATGTTATCCACCTCAATTGAATACAACTTAAGTTCACATAACAATGCTTGCTTTTCTTTACATACATTAACATAATTTTTGGTATTAATCTTATTTCTTATTAATTTTTGTACTTTCCTTATGTATTTATTAACTTTTATATACTTCTTCAATTTGGTTTTACTGCAATTAATCCTTACTGTGTTTCCTGAAGTGGAAGAGTCGTCACCAGTCAAGTCTATTGTTGCAGATTGCTGTAACATTCTTGAAGTATCACATTGCACAAGCTCAGAGAACAGGCTTTGAGTCTGGGAGGCTTTAAGGTTATCTATATATGTTTTAAATTGTGTTATTTGCTCATTAGCCTCATTCAACTGTAACTTCAATGCAGCAATTAACCTGAGAGCTTCCTCATATTCCTTGCTGCATTGGTCAAACTCATTAACCGTTCCCTGTATCTGATCTCTTTCTTTTATAACACTTGTGTATTCTGTATGTAACTTAACCATATCACATTTCAATTGTGTATTTTTGGCAATTATGCTAACTATTTCCCTTTCATTATCATCCCTTTCCTTAAGCAACAGTTCACACTGCTCCTTGGACGCCTTAAGTTCTTGGAGCGCAAGCTGGAGTTGGTTCTCCATCTGGCGCGTCTTGGCGTTGCGAGTATTCATTTTACTATTTATTATAAATAATAAAAGAAAACAAACATCGAAAACAGAAGGAGCAGAGTAAGCTAATGTAAAGTTGTTGTTTTTTTTTCTATTTACAAGTCTCAAATCAAATTATCGTTAAAACAATTCGAAAAGAAACCCGCAAAGAATGTAATAACCCGAGTAATAGAATAAATCTTTAATTTATAAAAGGAATGATATGAAATAAGGATTACAATAATTTTTAAAACAATGTTCGTTACCTGTCACTTTTTGTTCCAACACCAAATTGTTGTTATAATATTTATGTACCAACTTTCTTAAATATTAAATACAAAGCGGCAGTAATTATTAGCTATAACATAAAATTGAGGTGGATATGGTGAATTTACAATATTTAAATTATTAAAATTTATCGGGACCAATTACTTTTACAACTTATTACCAGGGTTGCCACAGCCCCCAATATGTCGATCCGAAGATAGTCAGCACTCCAAATGCCAACTTCTTCACCTCACTATAGCAATCTGGAAGACTATTCCACGCGTCAAATATAACTCAACACGCAGCCTTTCTTTTAAAGCTGTTCATTTTTGTTGCGTTACGTACATACATTTCTGGACCTCCAACTTTTTCAACTTCCTTATCAAATCTGTAAATTTTCAACTCCACAAAGCTTTACTTTTTAAATCCATCAATTGCATTTCTAGAGATCCAGTATCAACCCCAAATGGCTCAGTATGGATCGATTTATAATTTTTTTTTTATAAAATAAATAATATTTGCGTATGAAACTAAAGAGCCGCAGCTTCACATCCAAAGAGCCGCATGTGGCTCGCGAGCCGCAGGTTGCCGACCCCTGCACTATCCTATATACCTATCTACGGGATGGGTGTCGTAAGAGGCAACAGAAGGAAACAGAAACAGAGGTAGGGTGGCCGCATCTTCCTGATAACAACTTAGACTAATATAAACTACGGTTGCCAACTTGCCAAGCGTGGCAAATTTGGCAAAATCCCTCCTATGAAGCAATCTATGAGTAAGACCTATGTTCAGCAGTGGACTTTTATAGTTTTTAATGGATGGGATGGATAATACCATGGATCCTCCTGAAAGCAACTGCTCCAGGACCACATTTGACTCAATAGCCTGTTGTTGTAATCTTCTGCAACGAATGAGTCTTGCATGACAGGTGAAACAAACAATTATGGGCCCCTCATTCTCATCCAACTGAAAATATGAAAATCTTCATAAATATGAAATAGTATTCAAATACAGTAGAACGCCGATTATCCGAACGCCGATTAACCGAATCGCCAATTATCCGAATCGGTCCTAAGCTTAATATAAAAAACTATAACCAAGTACAGTAACATTACTTAGATTACTTATACAATACTTGGTTAACTGATATTAAAAATAACAGTGAAAAAATTTTAAGTTTTGTGACCGCGTTGGAAAGTGGTGGTGAAAGGCAAAAGATGAACAGCTTGAGAATGCTGTTTTTACATGGTTTGCAGCAACAATCTATTGGACAACCGATTTCAGGATCGATTTTATGTGAAAAGGCGCGTTCAAATTGGCGTTCTACTGTATATAAGTTTGTACTCGTAATAAAGATTATTGGCTACCACATTTTAATTTGTCAACATCACTTTTTATAATATTGAAGTGACAAATAAACTTACCATCTAGTAAGTGACTAATGGGCATCATGGGCACCTGCAACCAACTTCAAGCAATGGCTACAGATGCAATGTTACCTCTGAGGAGTAAGATGTAATGCATCACAGCCTGGCTCCCGATGTCCTTCAGACTGGGACACATACTGCTGCTTGGTGCCAGATAAATGATAAGAGGATGATATTTAGACAGAAAGAAACTCCTACGGTTGGCTTGGAACCGTTGGAACCTACATTTATCAACTACATTACCTACATTAACTTCAAACTACTATCATCACTAAGAACATTACAAATACTTCTCTTATCACTCTAAGTAAACTGATAATGCTTGTGGTAGGAGGATATTGAAACAAAACACAGGGTGGTGGGTGGTACTACACATTCTGTGAAAGTGTAGTACCACCCCGGTCGAGCCGACCCATCCATGATACAACCATAATATAGCTGCAGCCCGGCTCCACCACATATAAAATAATGATAATAATTCTTTCTACTCTATTCTTTCATTTTAATAGTCCGATAGAACTGTTTTAATTTTCTGAACAACCAAACCAGGGTAAATGTTAATTTGTTGATAAAAAACCACAAGAATAGTCATTCAAGTAATATGTACTAGAAAGTTCCTGGTGTCTACATGGAACAAAATCTATGCAGCAGTGCGGGTTGCATGGAAGGAATGGAAGGAGAATGTAGTACAATTAAGACCCAGATATTTGACACTTCACTAATCTACACGCTCAGCTTTGGAAAAATCTAGTAGACTGTAGACAAGCTAGGGAGGCCCTGCCTGAAATAAACAGTCGTTTAACCACACAAAGTCTAATGAGACTGAACAAGCCGCAGATCAGGATAGTAACAAGTGCTATCACAGGACACGGCAACTTTAACAAGCATTTATTTACTATAGGTGTTACAGATAGTCCCCTGTGCAGGGCATGTCTGGGGGAAGAAGTCATGGCGGCCCATGTGATATTGAAATGTCCGGAGGTCGCTACGTACAGGGCTAAACATCTCGGCACGCCGAGATCACTCCCCGAAGTTGCATGCAACATCAAAGGACTGTTGAGCTTCTTCGGGGAGATCTCATGACTCGAATAAGCATATTATTCCTGCCCACACGCAAAATATGCGCATAGATGTGGAGTTGCAGAAATCAGCCCATTGTAAACTATACTAAACTAAGACCCAGATACACTAGGGGCCATTTTGTCCCACAAGATGATGTGGAACCCTCAATCTACATGATGATGCTACATTGCACAGTGACCCAGAACATTGTAAGTGACATGGGACATGTAGCTTGTTCCCTCTCCGAGAGAGAGTGCACGTGTCCGGCATCAGTGTCACATCATTTGTTACCGGTTGTAGTTGTGTGTACAACTTTACTTGCAACATGTAAATATAAACCCATTTTATGAAAAACAAGAAAGATACCATGATAAATGATCTCTTATTGAAATTTGTTTTATTTAACAGTACCTATTAGGGCAGATAACAAATAAAATAGGTTAGGTTCAACTTATGTCAAAGAACCGAATTGATTGACCACGACCCCACCTGGTACGAGTCTGTCTTACCCCTAGAGTGGTTTTATAAAGCCGGAGGCGCGTAGGGGGAGCAGCCTCCGCCTGCTGTAACAAATCGTAGGCATTGGACGAGCCGGAGCGGCTGAAGCTGGTCGCCGAAGGCGACCAACAAGCCGAAGCTGCAGAGACGAGGAGGGATGCCTGCGATTTGTTACGCTAAGGCGTAGAGGCTGCTCTTTCCGCAGCGCCGGAGACGTAGCAGTCTCAAAATAGATACAGAAATCCTTCTGAATCAGTCCCCTTATTTTTTTATGATGAAGGGGATTTTTTTATTATAAAATGGATTTATTTTTACATTATAAATGCAAACATGAAAAAAATATCGTTATTTTAGAAATCGATTTTTTCGGAATCGATACATCAACTTACAATTCGAATCTATTTAAAAAATCGATTTTTTTCGGAAAGAATCGACATCCCTACCGACAATAATAATAAAAATGGCGTCAGTTTCACGGTAGGAATTGACTAAATATTGCAAATTTATTTGATTTACAATATTTTTTTCTCAATAAGTACGTGTTTCCGCATATTGAAACTTTGTGTGTGTGCTTATAAAAATGTAATCTTTATGTAAACATACGTATCAACACCAAACTCGACTGACGTCAATGGAAAGTCTTTCCCTACACCTTATCGTACATATATCGGGCATCATAATGTATTTCTCCAGTGATAACAACAAATTATCGCAACTTCATTTAACAATAAATAAATATTAAAAAACTTACAAAACTGTTCGTCAATGACCTATACAAATTTTGGAGGCCAGTCTCCTTTAGTACAACCATGCGTACATTAACGTTTAAACAAATTCTACAAACTTCACCTTCACTAAAGGCCATTGCTGTTTTCTATAGCTTTATTAAAAATTAAAATTGATTATTGAATTCTCTTTCTTCTTCTTCTTTCTTAGTTTTATGGCCCCTCTTTTTAGAATTCTGCCAATGTCAAGTCAGTCATGGGAGTGACAAGAGAGTGTTTACAATAGTTACAAGTTATTATTGTTTGTGTAGGTCTTCACAATCTACAACAAAAGACGCCACAAGTTTATAACCATCACCATGTTAGTAATCTTACAACTTAATTTTATTAGTTCTAATATAATCACACAAAATATTTACAAAGGGAGTAAACACAAGGGACAGTAAGTATGAGAAATTAGTAGGACGAGGGATGTAGTTAGGGAGTATATCATAAAAGGAGAAGGAGACCTTGGGGCACTCAAAAAACAGGTGGTTAACTGTTCCTTCGCCTAACCCACATTCACAGATTGACGTATCCCTAATCCTTAATTTAGCTAGGTGTACAGGTGTGCAGGTGTGACCGAATCGGAAACGGCAAACAGTTGAGGTAATCACTTTACTAAAGTGACGGGTTTTAAAGAACCAAGGTTTTAGGGGGATATTATTTTGGACATTAGCATAATTTTTACATTTTATAAGTTTTGACTGATGCCAAATGGTTTGCCATGAGGAGTGTAAACTTAAGTTAGCCTTCGACAGGAGGTCATATGAGTAAATATTGTGTTTGGGTAGTAATCCAGATTTAGCTGCTTCCTTAGCTATCCGATCAGCAACCTCGTTGCCCTGAATCCCACAGTGAGCAGGTATCCACGCCAAGACAATCCTTAGTCCCTTTTTATGACATTTGAATAGAGACTCTCTGATATTTAAAATTAATGGGTATTTTACTTTTAATTGAAATGGGCTGGAAGCAATACTTTGTAAGCAGCTAAGGGAATCTGATAATATGAGTTTTTTTCAGGCTGTGAGATTCAGCATACAAAACTGCCTCTAATATAGCCAATGACTCACCTGTGAATACAGAAGAGTCAGAAGGGGAATTAAAATTTAAAATAATTTTATATTTAGGTATCCACACTGCGGATCCTACTAAACCTTTTTCGCTGACCTTTGAGGCATCAGTGAACATAATCACCCAGTCAACCCACTTTTCAGCTAGAATCATGTTTAATTTAGTATTTGGTTCAGTGCTGTCCTTATGAATGCCAATATTTAAAAGTATGTCTGGCTTATATATTAGGGCCTCATAGGGAATATTGTAAAGAGGGTTCCTAAGTGACTTGGAGATTGGAGAAGGAAGATTGACAAGTTTGGAATAGCTTTTTATAATGCATGGCAAATCCTTATGTGACTAATATTGGGATCGCTTGACTAACTGGTTAAGGGAATGTAGTTTGGATAGGAGAGGATGGTGCAAATAACAGGCAGCTTTAAATAAAAATCTGTCTGATAAATACTGTCTTCGGAGAAAAAGAGGAGGCTCGACACATTCCACTTGGAGAGCGAGGATAGGAGTAGATTTCATTGCTCCTGTTATGATTCTGAGACATTTTGACTGGATTTTGTCCAGTATGTTAAGTGCCATTTTACTACATGGCTCCAGTAAAAAACAACCATAGTCGAACTGGCTTCTTATTAATGCATTATATAAAAGCTTTTGGGAATAAGGATGGGAGCCCCACCAGGAGCCTGATAGAGATCGGATGACATTTAAATTTTTTTCACATTTAGCAGCTACATAGGATAAATGTGGGATACCGGTCATTTTACTGTCTAGAATTACTTCTAAAAATTTCACTTGAGTCTGAGAAGGTATAAGATAGTCATCAATATGGATAGGCACATCTGGGGAAAACCTTCGTCTAGTAAATACTACTGAGTTACTCTTACTAGCTGAAATGGACAAACCATGTTCTATAAGCCAAAAGTTGAGGGCTTTAACTGCTTGGGTTAGACGGGAGATTGCTTGGTCAAAGGAAATGTCGGATGCATATAAGACTAAGTCATCAGCATACTGTAGGACATTAGCTAAGTAGTTTACAGATCTATCAAGTTCATATGTATAAAGGCTGTATAACAAGGGACTCAGAACTGAGCCTTGAGGTAATCCCTTCCAGACAGGTCTAGGTGATGTGAGCTTGCATTCAGAGCTAACTAATATGTGCCTCTGCGAAAGCAGGTTTGACACGAAATTTGTGATTCTCTCCGGGATGTTCAGCTGTTGCATTTTCTGCCTGAGCAGCGGAAGAATAACATCATCGTAGGCCGAACGAACATCCACAACGACGCCTACAAGATACTCATTGTTGGAAAAAGCAAGTCTTATGTCTGATACTAAGATACTAAGGCTATCCATTGTGCTAAAACCTTTTCTAAAACCAAATTGAGTCCTTGACAGAATGCCCCTATTTTCTAATATCCACTCCAGTCGATTCTTTACGAGATGTTCCATGACTTTAGATAAGGTTGATGAGATAGCAATAGGGCGGTAATTTAATGCTGAGGAGGGGTCTTTTCCAGGCTTTAAAATGGGTATAATAATATGGGTTTTCCAGTCATCTGGGATAGGACCTGTCGTAAATACCTGATTAATGATGTTAAGAAAGATCTGTTGACATGAAGAGCCCATATTGACCATAAATGAATAGGGAATACCGTCAATGCCAGGTGAGGAGTCCTTGAGGTGGCTGAGCACTAACTTTAATTCTTCTAAAGAGAATGGTTCATTAAGGTTATTTGGGATGCTGGGAGAGTGGGAGGGGAAACGTTTTGCAGTTGGAAATATCTCTTCCTCCATAGGAACCCATGGAGGAGCCAGTCTGCAACAGAAGTCGTTTAGCCATTCTGAAGGATCTGCACAGGAGGAATTATTGACATTTAAAGCTCCGCGAAAACGTCTGATATTTTTCCAAACTAAGGAAGAAGGAGATCGAGGGGATAGACTCTCACAAAATGAAAGCCATCCCTTTTTTTTTCTTTTCCGAAAGAAGTTTTTTGGATTCAGCGGCAATTTTTTGGTAACTTAAGAAATTTTCCATTGACATATTTGATGAATATAACCTTTCCGCTGTCTTGCGTTTTCTGATGATCGAGGAGCATTCAGAATCCCACCATGGAGGTGAAGATAGTTTCTTAGGGGATGTGTTTTTCAATGGAAAAATTTTGCAGGCTGAAGTATTTAATATTGCTATGAACTGATTATATACAGAATGTAGGTTTTGGGATGTAACAGTAGGAAAGTTCTGAATACTACATTCTGATTCTGTGGCAAATCCTTCCCAGTTGGCATTCGACAAATTGAATTTTAAAAGAGGAGCTGTATTTCTGGGAGGAGTACATCTATTGGACAGGTTTAACAGGATGGGATAATGGTCACTTCCAAAACAAGAAGGTAGTGTTTGAAATGACATACTGGCAGCCAGGGATGGAGAGCATAATGATAGATCAACTACAGATCTAGGATTATGGGAGGGATAACACATTCTGGTAGGAGAACCATCATTTAGAAGACAAAGATTGAATTCATTAAAAACATCAAGCAGTAAGTATGAAAAAGAGTCCAATTTATGGGAGCCCCACATTACGTGATGGCTATTAAAGTCGCCAAGAATAATGTAGGGAGGGGAAATGCTAGATAGGATCAAGTTTATTTCAGGGATACATGAGGGAGTGGGGGATGATACATAAATTGAGACAATGGTTATATCCATAGCTTTAATGGCTACGGCATTAATGTTATCTTGTACTTGAGGAAGAAGGACAGGACTGGAAGGAATGGTCCTGTTTAGTAGTATCATAGTGCCACCATAACCATCATTCCGATCACTACGATAACAGGAGAAGCCTGGGATCAAGAACGTAGAGCCTGGCTTGAGCCAGGTTTCCGCAATTGCAAGGATTGAAGGATTGTAAGTGTTGATTAAGTAAATTAAGTCAGATTTCTTGTTCCTGATGCTCCGACAATTCCATTGAAGGAGGTTTAGGGATGGGAATTTTGTAGAATTTTGAGAAAAGAGTGTCGTTTATTTTTCACGTTAAACGATAGATATACATCATCAAATTTGCCGACAATATTCGAAAGGGATGCCACAAGGTTTTCTAAAAGGTTGTCATTAGGAGTAACATTGGACTGCAAAGCATGTCCATTGGGCAAGGAAGAGGTAGGAGTTCTTGTTATGTTGGAATGAGAAATTCTATCATAACCAACTGTAGATCTCACTGGAATGGTTTTGGCTTTTAGAATGGTTTTCCTGTAGGATTGGGGAGAAGGGCGAGAGGAGGGAGTGCTAGGAGCCTGGGTAGAGGAATTGTTACTCGTGGAGACTTGAGAAGAAGCAACGTCCGCATATGGTCTTCTGACGGCTGGAAAGCGAGCAGAAGCCTCCAGATACGAGACATTCTCTTGTGACATTACTAACTTAATTGCTTTCTGGCGAGAATGTTCGGGGCAGCTTTTATCAGTTGCCATATGTTTGGCAGAGCAGTAAAGACAGGTTGGTGTGTCTGTAAGGCAGTTTTCCCCAGTGTGTTCCTTTGTGCATTTATAACAACAAGGTTTTGATCGGCATTGAGCCTTTACATGTCCAAAACGACAGCATTTCATACATTGAATGGTGGGAAGGAGGTAGGTTTCGACCGGGATTGATGAATAAAAACAGTATAAATGTGAAGGAAGCACTTGACCGGAGAAGTTGAGGACAATAGTTTGGGTTGGAACCCACTCCACTTCATCACCCTTTTTAACTTTTCTGTGGAGCCTTCTGGCTTTAATAATTTCCCCTCTCCCAGAGGGGAGCTCTGACTCTGCAACTAATTCCTCCATTGAAATGTCAGTTGGGATTCCCCTAACCACACCCATACGAGTTACGTTGAAGGTGGGAATAGTTGCGGCAAGTTTATGTTGTATCAGGAATTGAGAATCAATGAAATTGTTAGCATCAGAGGCAGTCTTGAATGCAATTGATACTCTGTTGCGGCCTTCATTTTTGATACTCTGCTTTTCTATATTTGCTACTTTATTTTGTGATAACCAGCCGCTGGGTCAGGTTCTGCGCGGGTTAAGTGAATAACGAAAGGTCCTTTATCGCTATCTACGTACTTTTTTTTCCTGGAAATCAGGGTGAACATACACATTTTGTCGTAAGGAAGATGGGTTGACGTCAGTTTTTTTTTCTGGGAATGTTATTAATTAATGAGTCCGCGGGTTTTCGTTTGGCTACGCCAGAATTCCCAGATTTATCCGGGGGTTCTGGTTCCCCTCCATCTACATCCATCATTACCACACTATTCTACATACACTATATTAATATTTCTACTACTCACCGGTTAATTAGGACAATACGAACAAAACAATCACAGACAAAACAAAAAAAATTGTAAAGCCTTGCACAAAATTGCCAAAAAGTAATCAATAATCTAGAACATTCCCTATATATAATGTACTCTGTGGCAGAATCCAAAATCTATTGAATTCTCTTTTTCATCAACAACCCGGACTTTTCACTTGTTGTAGGGATGTTCGATGATTATCGTATCGTAGTTTGCTACATATTTATTTATCTATGGCTGTTTTCTATAGCTTTATTAAAATTGATTATTGTTTCTCTTTTTCATCAACAAACCGGACTTTTCTCTTGTTATTTTTTTTGGAGTTTATGGCCTAGTATCTAGACCTTTAGGCCATTCTCTTGTTATTATTACAATTTATCACAGAATACACACAATTTTTTATAATCACAGAACACTATTACTCCTAAAGTTTATAATGCGCCCGACGCGTAGTGTTTCTATATAGTTTGTGGCCCAGCGTAGGCTCTGGCAAAAAATACTGATATATTAGTGATGGGTCAACTCGAGTTGCGCTTAACTCGAGTTAACTCGATTTATATCTCCCCAACTCGAGTTTGGGCTGCTGTACATGAAGGAATCAAGTGAGCCAACATAAGAGTAAGAGCGCGATTTGTTCGTTGTGTGCGCGCTTTGTGTTTCATATAGTATTTAGTTACAGTCAAAACAATTTGTTATTTAGAGATTTATAATAGCTAAGTTACATATGTAATTTAATTTCATTTATAATTTTGATTAATTATGATCATTATAGCTACGTATGTCACAGACCTATTATTGTAATACCTGAAAAGGGTGGTTAAGTTGTAAGATACATCATACTTTAAATTAACGCCAAACACTTAACTTAGAATAAATATTTAGAATTTGAAAAAGTTTGAACTTATTGAAGAATATTTTAACTGTAATAATTAAACTATTAATAGGTTATGTACTTACATCTTAAAGCTAGACTAATATTATTTCGTGAAGGCTGCTATATAAGTTGTTTTGTTGTTAAATACAGGTACTTTAACAAATATTAAAACCAAAAATACATAAGTATGTGATACATACTAAATATACATTTTCATTTCAATCCTACACAATAAGTTTGGTAATTATGGTTATCCCAACACACCAAAGAGCTACAAAGAAAAAAAAAAATTATAATAAAATAATTTCTAACAAATCCTTTACTCTGTTTCATACTGCTAACTCGAGTTAACTCGAGTTGTAATTTTTCCAAATTGGTACATCTATACGATATATCGTCGATATTTTAAATCGCGATATATGGATCTTTATTTTCGAGTATCGAATTCGTATCCATTTCGATATATTTTAAAATGTTGTATTAATGACAAAACATGTAACAACAAAAGGAGGTACATATGAATTCATATGTGGTTGGTTGCCGTTTCCTTTTTCGTCGTCAAACCGTCTATAATATAAAATTATGGACCTAATCTTTACATCATGCATATCGATATTTATCACGCGATATATATCGACACTGTTTAAAATAATCGATGCGATTTTTTTCCTTATCTGTCCATTAGCCCAGCGCCCACATTTTTTTAATAACTGGCTTTACGGCTCTGGGTTCTAGCCCTTCTGGTCCTGAAGTGCCAATATATAATTATCCTTCATAGTACACTGCTTCGCAATCTGTTGATGCGTCACATTTTGCAGCGCTTGGGAGATTTTAACGGCAACTTGAGCCAGCAGACAGCTGACAGTTGGCGATGGCATCTCAAGGCGCCTAAGCAGACAGACACCTTATTTTAAGAATCACATCACCATCAGAGCAGTTGTTTCACCGTTTACTACCGTCTACTAATAGTTCACATGCGCAGACACTTAATACACAAAATCGCACCACTTTTACATATCAAAATCCACTTGAAACCATTATTTAAACAATAATACAGTAGCAGCAAACTGCTGCCGGTCAAGTTCCCGCCAAAACTCAAGCGCCCACAAACTAACTAGTAGAATTTACCAGAATCAGACCATAGATATAGTATTAAACTCGTAGACAGAGAAATATAGATAGACAAGACCTCAGCGTATGTCAGTAAGAGATAGCGATAGTTGGCCAAAGTACATTACTACAATTACATGTAATTTAAATTGACATTCTTAGACTTTTACCACCATTGTGTGGGTAATCTAGTTCTTTTTATTTCGGTTGTTCTACGTCAACTACTAATTTAAGTAATTTTATTTTCTATGGGGACGTATTTATGACTATTTGACTGTGCGCGAACTGAATGACTCCGGGATGAACATTAAGCGCGAAGAGAAATGAGTTGTAGTGATCATTTTATTACAATTTATCTAAGATATTCTCTCAGAAGCCAATTTACATAATTTAGGACCGGGTTTAGTAAGCTCGTGGGGCTTTCGAGTGTTTATTCTATATTTATAGCTCAACATGTAAATAGTACAATTAAATAAATCATAATCAACTCATAGCCCTGAATGCATTCAGTTCGCGCAAGTCGTCCCTTAGCTAATAACACCGCATAAGTCATTTTTACCAACTTTACAGGAAACGAAAAAAAACTGTCCATTTTAAAAAATCGGCGGAAATTTTCTGTTGTTACTTAATATATGCCCTAGTTAGCGGTTAAGGAATAATTATTTATAATTATTTTGACTATATACTTTATTTTAACTTTTATTTTATGACTTGAGCTGTGTTGACTGATATTTTATTAGATTTAGGTGGAGTTGTTTGCGGAAATGTTAGGGAATAAGGTATTAATAGATGATTTACAACGAAAAGTATTTTTACGAAATATTTCAATAATAATTAACAATCGTTATAACATAGGTATCTATAACCTAAATCTTGCGAATCACACGAACCTTTAGAGCGTATGTGCAATTTTTTATTGTTATTTTAATTGGTAAATATTTAAAACATAGTCTTTAAAAATTCTAACGAAACAAGATATAATAGTAACAAAATAATAAAAGTTAAAAGTTATACTCGAAATCTCTAGTCTAATAATTAGTTGCAGTCATTAGCGATTGCTGTGCGGAAGGTCACCATAAAAAGAGTGGCAACTAGTTGGTAACACACTTTTTAGATCTTGCAATCTTCACACTTCCGCTTTGTAATTGGTATTCTAGTTGCATACAATTTCTGCAGGTGATTTATTTGTTTAATGCTGTTAATTGGCGTGGGACGATGTGGTAATGGATGAAGCTCGTCAACAAAATCACTTTTGTACCAAATTGTGCCATTTCGTATGTATTTTAGCATACGTACATCTGTGACGACTGGGTCACCTGTCTTTTAACCAGGCCGTATAGATTTAAAAATTAATTCTTTCGAAAAGTCGATAAAAAGGTATAGTCCAAATAACGAGCTTCATTAGGCATGGGATCCCTACTAGCTGTTTTAGTTATAGCCATGTGTTGTTGTGGAAGGTAAATTTCTTTACCTTTTAATTTACACTCTATTGCACTGTGTACGGAATCTAATTCTATGTGGGAATGGCCTTTTTCCAGGTACTTTTGAGTAACCACAATATTTTTTTCAAACGCTAAACGTAATAAAACATTGCTGAAGATAAAATTGCGATTTTGAGCACAACAGCCATCGGAATATAAAATCACAGACAATAATTTCTGACTCAAAACCTTCTCTAGATGGTCTACTAAGCATGAAGCAAAAACAGAGGCTTCAAGCTTGCTATTTGACTCATCGAACCAATAACACATTACTTTCTTAGTTGCTAAATTGTATAATGTAAAATTCTGGACGCATAATTTAGTTTTGTAATAAATAGCACCGGCTTGAAGATACGGGCCAATTTTACCGATTCAACATCCTGCGTGAATGCGTGACAAGCTCCGGACTGTGCAATACCTTTGTCAGTATCTTTCTCTTTCCTGGCTCGATGTTTTTTCAAAACATGTTGAGCGTATATTTCATCGGTAATGCTTCCAGTTTTATAACTGCAACAAACGTCACACTGATTTTTCTTCGGGTGGAATAAGCTCAGATTGAGTTTGGCTCCATCTATAAAGCCGTAACTCGATCCTGCATAGATTAAAATCAATGTATTGGAAGAGCTCGTATCCGTCAATATTGCATTTATTCTGTAATCGCGCCAGCATTTTTTATACGTTAAATTATTATCGATTTATGCTTCGTCTAGGAAAAATATTTGACGAGTATTTAGTCTAAATTGACCTATTTTTCTTCAATAAATAGATCGAGTAAAAACTATATTTGGCATTTCAATCAAAATTCTCCTTTTGCTGTGGCTAGGAAAATTATGATTTTACTTAACACACTTTAAGATAGACCTGTGTAATATACTGCTCGATCTATGCTCGATCTTTTTTTTTCTTCACACATCTAAAGAACGCGTTTTGCCATTTCGCGGGCTTGTCCTCTAACTCTGAAGGAAATTTTTCTCTGCCTGTTGTCATTGCTTGTACTCGCCATTTATTTTTCGTTGAAATTGACCAGCTAATTGCAAACAAAAAACTTTTTAGTTTAGTCCTATTTAAAGTACAAAATAACACTGCTATCGCAAACTTAAAAACAGAACTCGATAAGCGTGCTCTCGCGTCGATACCGACACTATAGCTATGAGCATTATAACGTATAGACAGTTATGGAAACGTCTATTTACCATATAACGTATAGATAGTTATACATAACGCTCATAACTGTCTATTTCTTATAACGATCCGCAACGCATAGAGTACCTTTGAACCTCAACGCTACAACGTGATAGTTATACACAACGCTCATAACTGTCTATTTCTTATAACGATCCGCAACGCACAGAGTACCTTTGAACTGCAACGCTGCAACGTGATAGTTATACATAACGCTCATAACTGTCTATTTCTTATAACGATCCGCAACGCATAGAGTACCTTTGAACCGCAACGCTGCAACGTGATAGTTATACACAACGCTCATAACTGTCTATTTCTTATAACGATCCGCAACGCACAGAGTACCTTTGAACCGCAACGCTGCAACGTGATAGTTATACATAACGCTCATAACTGTCTATTTCTTATAACGATCCGCAACGCACAGAGTACCTTTGAACCGCAACGCTGCAACGTGGTAGTTATACATAACGCTCATAACTGTCTATTTCTTATAACGATCCGCAACGCACAGAGTACCTTTGAACCGCAACGCTGCAACGTGATAGTTATACATAACGCTCATAACTGTCTAT